TTAACTACAGGGGTCCCTCAGGGCTCTGTTCTTGGTCCCCTCCTCTTCTCCCTGTACACAAACTCGCTCGGATCAGTCATTATCCCGCATGGTTTTTCTTACCACTGCTACGCTGACGACACCCAATTAATTCTGTCCTTTCCCCGCTCAGAGACCCAGGTCGTCGCACGCATCTCTGCTTGTCTAGCTGACATCTCTCAGTGGATGTCTGCTCATCACCTCAAGCTCAACCTTGACAAGACTGAGCTGCTCTTCCTTCCGGGAAAAGAATGTCCCACTCTTGACCAAACAATCAACATCGGCACCTCAGTTGTTTCCCCGACTCAGACTGCAAGGAATCTGGGTGTGACCCTAGATAACAACCTGTCCTTCACTGCAAACATCGCTGCTACAAACCCGTTGCTGCAGATACACGCTTTACAACATCAGGAAGATACGTCCCCAGCTGACACAGAGAGCGACTCAGGTTCTGGTCCAGGCTCTCGTCATCTCACGCCTAGACTACTGCAACTCCCTCCTGGCTGGTCTACCTGCATGTGCCATTCGACCTCTGCAACTCATCCAGAATGCAGCGGCTCGTCTGGTCTTCAACCTTCCTACATTTTCCCACACCACTCCGCTCCTCCGCTCCCTTCACTGGCTTCCGGTAACTGCTAGAATCCACTTCAAGACACTGGTACTTGCTTACCATGCTGCGAATGGATCTGGCCCTTCGTACATCCAGGACATGGTTAAACCGTACACCCCAGCGCGTGCACTACGCTCTGCATCAGCCAAACGCCTCGCTGCACCCTCGCTGCGAGGGGGACCCAAGTTCCCATCGTCGAAAACACGTGGGTTTGCTGTCCTGGCTCCAGGATGGTGGAATGAGCTCCCCATTGACATCAGGACGGCAGATAGCTTGCACATCTTCCGGCGCAAACTGAAAACTCATCTCTTTCGACTCCACTTCGAGCGATAGAACTATTAACGAAGCACTTTTATACTAATAAAGGACTGGCTTATCTAAAGCCAGTTGAGTAGCACTTGAAATGTTTGGCTCTATGAAACCTGATGTACTTATATGATTCTGTTTTCTTCAAGGTTGTGTCTTCCTGGTCGAATGTACTTATTGTAAGTCGCTTTGGATAAAAGCGTCAGCTAAATGCAATGTAATGTAATGTAATATCATTTACAGCACGCTTTGGGATATCTAATAGGAATATCAGTTAGAAAGGGAGCTGATGTCAAGGGGGGGGGGGGGGGGGGGGGGGGGTGTGTGACTCATGGTGGAGTCGGGGGGGTTGCTTGGGTCAGGGGGAGCAGCTGCAGGCAACAAAACGTTAAAGAAGCAGATGCAACAGGGGGAGAATCCATCTTCCCTCGCTGCTGCGCCGCTGTGCCGGGATGATCAAGGCAGTGGAAAGATAGATTGGATGGAAACCGGCGTCCGTCTGAGCCTCCACACAAACTTGGATATGTGCACATGCACTGCATAAACAAAACAAAATGTGTATGTGGAGAAGTCATGGAGTGATAATGTCAGCGTGAATTTGTTTTTCTCGTTGCCTCAGAGAGCCAACTCCGAAATGTGTTTGCCAGAGTCAGAGGCGTGTAGTTTGTTCTGCTTCAGATCTACTTATACTGAAAGTCAAAGCCTGCTGTTATTCTGAAGAATAAAGTAAAAGTGGAGCTTGATGGTACTTACTGATGTCTTGAATAGCATATTACATCATTTTAAAAACCTGACATGTCTTTTCTTCCCAACACAAGTCGCTGCAGTCGTGGCAAATGGCTTCATTCTGACAAAACATTTGAAGTGATCTTTGTCCTTGAATTTGCTTCTTTACTTATAGCAGTTGTCTATGGCAGTGAAGGCTGACTAAAACGACCTGTCCAACATGTGTTATTATGTCAAAGCAAACAAATCTCCAAGTTGTTGATTTTTAGAAAATGTAGGAGCACATGAACTCCAGTTAAAGTATATTTATCAGAAAGAACTGCCATTGTTTTTCTCCACCAATACATTTTAATTATAGAGACTATAAAGCTGAGTAACATGCCCTTCACACTCTTCTCCTTTGAGCCTTTATAATACCGCTACATAATAATGTTCTGTTACGCCTTAAGATTGCACGTACTTTAGTGCGGCAACTTTCTCCTTGAAGATGAGACAGGAAGCATTCATACAGTATGATAAAAACATCATCTGTCAACCTGTTATGAAACTGTCTTCCAAGAGAGAGAGTGATTTGAATGTCAGATGACGCCTGACATTCAAATCCGTGATGTCGGTCCTAACTCCAAATATTTGTGTTTACAAGTGCAGTTTGTGAAATAAAGAGATTTGATTACCTTGCCGGAAAAAGGAAATGAAGCACTAAAATAAAAGACTATAGTCATTCTAAATGGGGAAATAAAATGCAGGAGAAAATCAACGAATGCACAAGGAAAGTAGTTTAGGTGGGAACACATACACCTATTCCCGACATGGGGAACTCTGAAAACATCGCTGCAATAGTTGGTTTTGGAGTTCACAACATAAGGACTGGACCTCCAGAGATGCCAACATTGAATATGTAAAAAGAGTAGCATTTGCGAGCGAAGCGAGCAAAGAACCAGCTGGGGGTTCGGGGGGCGCTGTAAGCCCCCGAGATTTTTTTTTATATTAAAGGCTCTCAGGGGCTCTGTGAGCTGCTATTATTTCTCATCAGGTGTTGTTTTCAAGCAGAACCTTTTGGTGAAATAGTGGACAGATGCAAAAAAAATTCATCCGGGATCCCTGACCTATTTTAATGTTTATCTATCCAATGTTTCCTTAAATGCTATTGAAAACAATGCAGCTAATTATATAAACATTAAATGAACACAATAAATAGAGAGTGAGCACTGCAACCTTTGTCATTTTATTAAACCAACCATAGAGCTTCAGTTTCTATTTTCTTCATGTTGATCAGTCATATCATAATCCATAGTAATAAATTGCTCACAAACATGCAATATAATATATATGTACAACTGATATTACTTTAAGTTTAAGTGTACTCATAGTAAAGTTATTCAAGGAGACCATTTCCCATATATCTGACCTACATAAAAGAATACTTCACACTGGAACTTAGTAGATGCTAGGAAGCATCTACTAAGATCCAGTGTGAAGTATTCTTTTATGTAGGTCAGATATAGTGTACCCAACATTGCCCCCACCCCAACACATGTTCATCCATAATCTTAATGCAATGACTCAGCTATATATATGTGCTATCATTCCCTTAAGTTAACCTAAAAAAAAGGAAAATAAGATTAAACTACCTGGATCTTATTTCTTGATGGCATTTTTCGACTCCTTGCACATCAATAACTATGTTACTACCACATCACACTCAACTATATATACATGAATATCCTAGTACTAATCTATGGCACTGGTTAAAGTGCATGTTTATATACAATCTCAATGTTTATATACAATCTCAACGTTTTTGTATGTCGCTCGACATCACTCTTCCCGCCATGTCGAATGCTGACATCGCAGCTACACAGCGTGCAGTACGCATGAAACTCGTCGAGTTTTGACCTATGAATCACAGGCCACACAACAGAGTATTCTGGCAGAAATCGTTGGTCGTTAGTCATCTGCTTTTTAGCGGGTGGTGCTGCCATCGCATTGGGGACAATTTTTCGCGGATTTAAACCGATTTTATAAGATTCTCGTGACACTCATCGACTCGATCGTGTTCTATTCACCCGCGCCTGCCTGTCCGGGGTTTAGTCTCATTAAACACGGATATCCGGATCCGGTATCATTAAGCTTACTATAGCTATATGAATGCTACGGGTTAATCGCATGGGGCGCCGGAAGTGAAACCCGGACTTTCGGGATCAAAGATGTTCGTTCAAATGCATTCGATAGGTGGCGCCACTTTATTTTCTCAGACATAATATTTTGTGTAAAAAAATCGTAGCAAAACATTGAAAAATCGTAGAAGCGTAGTTTAGGTTAAAAATCGTAGTTGCTACGGCCAAATCGTAGACATTGGCATCTCTGGACCTCCCATACATGTTCTTTACAATAAGAGTGCCATGCGTGGATGCATTCCTGTTACAGGCTGGCATTACTGCAGAGTACAATTTCATGCCCACACAATAGATCTGAATTTAGGAGAGTTTGGTTGAAAAACACTGGGATTAGAAAGACTACTAATTGATGCAAAGCACATGAAAGCCCACAGGTTGCAGCGTGGAATGCCTAGGACCTTGTTCCTGCAAACATTGTCAAACTAAAGCAGGGCATGGCCTTCTGTTTAGTGATGTGCCCTGTTATTGGACAGACTGTTTGATGGCCCACACAAACCCTACCTCAGTACATCAGACTCTTGTTATCTAATCAGCCAAAGGACATCAGCACCAGTTTTTCCCCCCGAAAACTGACATACAAAGCAAATTCAATTTGTACAACACTGCATCAACAACACACAGATTTGTTCCCATGAGTAACTTGTTTGTTGTGCGAATGTGAACGAGTGCCCCTCAGAGACAGCAACATCATGTTTGCGAGACCATCCTTATTAGCTTGTTTGCATTCACAGCCCATCCCAAGTGGCAGCTAAAGCGAGAGATGCTGTCAGGCAGCCTGGCGTAATATGCAGCCTCGTCAGCATGTATACTGTACACAAGCAGACAGCCAGACACTGCTGCCTGTCTGGTCCCACACAACTAACACATCTACATGTGTGATAGCTGGGAAATGATGTCATGCTAACTTATATTGAAAACCGACTGAATAACGTCCTCTAATGTGAGAGTGCGCCTTATAAATAAGCAGTAAACCACAGAGAGCTCATACTGGGTAAGCTGCAGAAGTATGAGATTCAACGTATACATCCACTTCCTAAAGGGAGACCATACTGGTTGGAGGCATGGGGCTGTAGCATTATCACCAACATAAAAATGTGCTGCCTCATAAAGTCAGAAATGTTCCTGAGATGTGACGGCTACTGGTGTGAAGGTGTGCCACTAACCTTCTCTCTGAGCTGCGAGCAGATGTCCTGCTGGTGCTGGCGGCCTCTGTGGAGCTTCAGCTCCTCCTGGTGGGCATGCCTCGCCTCCTGCAGGGTGACCAGGGCTCTGGCCAGCAGCTCCTCCTGATCCCGCTCACACTGCTGGGTCACCACCCTCAGCTGACCCTGGGTCAAGCGCTGCCAGTCCCACACACGCTCATGCTCCATCTGGAGGAACCACATGCACAGAGAAGGAAGTGTTTATTATTGCACTGTATCATTACTAAATGTCTTCACAGTGGTGTAATGTAACAACGTTTTGGACTTGCATGCAACATTTGAGTTACTTTGACTTTGAGGTACATTACATGTGTATTTTATATAAATGCCAACTTTATACTTCTACTCCACTACAATTTAAATGTAAATATTTTACTTTTTACTTTACTATATTTATCTGACAGCTTAAGTTAGTTAATTTACAGATAACAATCTTTGCATGAAAAACACAAACGTATATAAAATATGGTGTGTTTTCATTTAACTAAACTAGCCCACAGTTATTACAAAAACTGCTTTTGCAGATTAATCTTTTTTTATTTTAATTTTGGGTTTTTTGGTGTTTTCTTTTTGCATTTCTCTGCATACGATACTTTTATTAAATAATGTATTACTTTTACTACATTTTGCTATTCATACTTAGCTAGTTTTACCTTGAATAACCTTTTTAATGTAGGACTTTTACTTGTAACTGATTATTTTAACAATGAGGCATTACTACATTTACCTAAAATCAAGGATCTAAATACTTTCTCCTCAACTGGTTCTTCATATAAACTTTGAACGAAAATCAAAGACAAAATTGGTAGAAAATCAAGATGAAGGTAATGACCCCAAAGTGAAACACTGCTGAATTATACAATGTGTTGTAAGACATTAATGACAAACAATCAGAATTCCACAAACAGCCCCACATGATGTACTGTCTTTAACAATGGCAGCGGGGCAGCAGGGGGAACAGATCTGTCAGATCTGGCTCTGCTGGTGTATCAAATGCCCCCCTCTCTGTGGCTGTGAAATGTCCTGAAGGGAAACAGTTCCTTTCTGTGTGAGGGCTGCCTGTAGCTATTCATCATTGTGTCAGCGCTCACAGAGGCTGCATCACTTGGCTGCTTCATTGGAACAGAGGGAATGATATTCATCTATGGGCTAATAGCGGCTAACTGACGGTGGGAAGGCATTAGACGGCTCACTGGTTTTATTGAGAATGAGTGAGCTGACAGATCTGCCAACGGAACAGAAGTGCCAGAGGCAGCCGAGCAAATCCTGTTTATTAATGCGCAACTTTAAAACTTTAGGAAGATCCACCCTTGGTTCTCATTTTCTCCTGTCCTCTCCTTCACTACCCTCGTCTTCCTCGTGTTTTTGTGAATGAGCGTGTTCACAGTGTGTGTGTGTGCACATGATTGCAATGTGTGTTGTTCACACATATGGGCTTGCATGCACTTTAGCCAACACATCAGACACAGTAGGTGCGTTGAAGCATCCACCGCACTGTGTCTGCAGTGCACATTTAAAGTGGCACGACATTTAGTTTAGGTGCTGCATTCAAATTCCCTCTGCAGATTGCGGAATACCTCAAGGACTGAGCCATACTAGTAAGGAGGAAAGATACAACTGGCTATACCTGGATTAATTCAGAAAAGGTAAGAGGTAGGAAATGTTTCCACTATTGCCGTATCATGAGGGCATTACTATAAAATGGCCTCTAATTTTGATGAAAGAACATCAAGAAGTAAATGATAAGATACAATAAAAAGTCCCATCCAGTAGAGGAAGATGTCTTCACTAAACTAGCAGGAGTGCCTCCGTCTGATGTTAAACTGAAAGACTAGTTTAACTTTGGGTCAGCAAAACAAAAACACAGAAAACATGGCCTCAAACTTCAACATACAAATGAAAAAGGCTCTATGTTGAGATAGTGATATGTTCTAGGATTCAAGTTAGGAACACTGACATAATCCTAATGTTTTGGGATTAAGACAGAAAAGTAATTAAATGTCACTAATCTGTCTATACCCGCTGATTCTGCTCTATTTGCCTTTGGTAATGTCTCTGCAAGATCACACAGAGAAAGTGAAATCACACTCTCACAAAAAATATATTGTGTCAAAGAAGGAAACTTCTACCAAAATGTTCTTTCTACGACTATTCTTCTCAATTTTACCCTCTTAAAATGTGAGGTTTTTCAAATGAGATGATACTGCAAGCAATTCAATATGGGAGCTAATTTCTCACCGAGGCTATTAAACTGTTACACTGCACAAACCCTTATAACTGTGGTAATGTATCACACCTGCTTTCTAGCTATACAAATACAAGCTTTTGTATCTTGCACTATAATTAAAGATGACAAAGAAGCAGCAGAACATGATGCTATCATCACCCTGAAATGATTGCATGCAAAAGGAAAAAGGTGAGAAAAAAAAAGAATGGCTAAAGAAGGAGCCGTCTGCAATGCTCTGAGGTGAGAAAGCAACATAAGAATTGCTAACAGACTTCATAGAAATACAATACACAACATACAAGAGGGAAATATCTGTCCAAGCAGTATGCTGCTGAACAAACAGGATATTTATTTTGTAATAGAGCCAAAAATGTAGGTGCAGAGACAACTTTAACTAGGGGGTCATCCTTTAAGTTTATGTTTACTGGATACGAATCCATGTCAAATATAGAAAATGCCAAGAAAGCCTACACAAAAAATCCAAAATGTTTCTTAATCAGTGGGGTTTCATTTCAGCAACTCTATATCTATACCACTGATTACCAACCGCATTCAAACCAATGTAATTATGGTATCTGAATTAGGCGGAGCCCATCAAGTCTTGCTGTTTTCTGAGGAAGTGAAAAGTGTGATAAAGACAGTTGAGAAACACATCTCTCCTTCTGGCGAACCCCCTAAAGGCTGAACAGCTCTAAATGCGGCACCCAGCTGGAACTAATACGAGGACAGGTCTCTGGGTGGGCGTGAGGTAGGAGAGCGCGGCTGGCGGTTGTCATGGCGATGCTAGCTGGTGGCGTGAGCGAGGTGTCCACAGTGGGTGACATGGCACATCCTGCAGCGTGCTGAGCGGCTCATTGTCCAGACGGATCTGTGTGTCTCTGCTCAGCGCTGGCTCCTGAGCTATATTGATCAGGGAGCATGGGACTCACACTGCAGGGGGGATTCAGACTGGGGAGAGGTGTGTGTGGAAGTGCATCAGTTTACAGTGCACGTTAGTGTCCAGCAACCTCGTTTGGCATGTATGTGATGTTTTGTGTGCAGTACAGTCAGGGAGAAAGAAATAAAAAAGGGCAGGGGACAGTAGTAGCCCAGATTGACCAAACAGGATCAATTCAGATAACCTCAGTGGGCAGCAGATCAGACTGTGGTTGATCAGCTTCAAGGTGTACATGTATCGGTGAGAGTGTGAACAGAAATCCCCTTAAAAACATGGATTTCTTTGAGGAAAACGTCCCATAACCGATTTTCATTATTTCTTATTCGCTAATGCAGCCCTATTTGTACTTGTACTCTGTGGTTGTACTACCCAAGATTCAAGGCTTTATTGTCATGTGCACAGTAGCTACAGTGTAGATATGGCAATGAACAACTTAAGTCCCAGGCTCCTCCAACAATGGAACATGAATATACTGTATAGGACATCACATAAAATAAAAACAATACAAATAGTGAAAGGAATAACAGAGTAGAAATAAAATAGTGCAAGAGAATGTTGTAAGATGTGTAAGTTAATACACATACAATAGAAATAGTGCAAGAAGAGTCTATAAACACGTAAATTGAATATGATATATAGATAAATAAATTGCAAGATGCAAACAGATTTGACTTAAATCAAGTTTCGGGTACTTACTGTATGACCACTGTCAGTATCTATCTTTGATATTTTCTATATGTATTTGTGTATGTTCAGGTGACTGGTGAGTTTATGCATATTTGTATGTGTACAATATAACACGCATTGGGTTTTAGTTAAACTAAATAATATGCAAATAAATACTCTTTCTTTAACATATTTAGTACTGACCAGCTCTTGTTTAGTTTTCTCCAGGAACAGTCTTTGCAGCAGGTCCATGTAGAGAGCTCTGTGGTTTGATTGGTCCTGAGTGTACTGAGACAGAGTGAACAGGAAGCGTTGGTGGTCATCTGCACACCAGCCACAGAACCTGAAACAGATTCCAACCAAGAGAAGACAGGATCATAAAGCAACATTTACACCTGACTTGAATTCCAAATGGTATACTGATTAATTGCATACTGCTCATATAAGCTAACAGTGCTATACAGCGCTGATATGGAAGTACAGATCAAGAGACAGTGACATAATCAACCTCCTGGGGAGAAACAGCTTGCTTCTGGGGAGGGAAGGGACTGTGCCTTTATGCTGCTGGGGTCCTGCTGAGTTTTTTAAATCTTTATTCTTGATCTTATCAGCTTCCCTGGAGTTTTGCCTATACCTTTATTTATCAAAATGGATGGCTGAAAATCATTAAAAGCCTATTTCTATGAAGACTTTAGTGAGATATTGAATGTAATGCCAGCATACATGTATTCAATGTTAGCTGCCAAATCCTACCTGTCAGTTGTCTGCAGTTGATCTTGGAGATCCTGCAGCCTGCTCTGGTATCTTTCTGATAGTGAGTGAAAGGCCTGGATCAGGGCGTCCTTCAGCTCTGGGTAAGGGCAGTCTGACTCCAACACTTCCTCTGGACAGCTTCCTATGATCACCAGATCAACTGAAGTACTAGTGAGATATTTCTGCAAAGGACAACATGACTATCTTTGACATATATAGAAATTAAATGTTCACACGTTTTATTTGGACACACTGTAGAAATGGTTTTTAATCACCATGTTGCTGACACAGAAGGAGGATATCTATAAACCAGTAGTGAGAAATGTACCTCTAAGCCACAGCCAATTATCTCCTCCTCCAAAATCTGGTACTCTGAATTGAGTTTTGCAGTTATTTCATCTTGCTGGTCCTTCACAAAGTGTATCTGGGAATTCAAGGAAAAAACAAACTTGAAAAAAAGATTGTCATATTAAAAAAACAATCATGACAACAGCAGTTGAATCTTATTGTGTCTGGGGGAAATACACTTCCAATTAGCTGTTACTTTACTATAAAAGGAATCATTTATTTGTTGATACTTCCACATCTAACCCTGCCCATCAAGGAATTACTAAAAAAAGGAATTACTCAAAAAATTGGGATACACACAGCAGACTGACGTGGTCACAGTAGTCGTGTATCACTTTATAACCTGTCATTATGCTATGACCGCTCAAATTAACAGTATTTATTTAACCGAGCCAGATTGTTGATTCAGAAACATATATCATGAGAATAATTCAGTAATAGCAATCAACCAGTAACTACGTATCTCCCAAAATGTTAAATATCAGAAGAAGATAAACAGTTAAGTTGCACAGCTCCATGGTTTTGTTGTACAATCAAAAAGTGAGAATTGAACTTTATACACACAGGTATTATGAGCCTGAATGGGATTGATGCATGATAAAAATGATGAATTATGATCAAAGATAGGAAAAGATTCCTGGATGGATGGACAGATGGACAGATGGACAGATGGACAGGGATATTAGCATAGTCAATCTATGAATACGGAGAAATACTAAAAGCTTTTATAATTTATAGTAAAATATGCACAGTGTAATTCTTATAGTTTTGGGATGAACATGGTGGGATGAAAAATAGAAAAAGATAACAAAAGGAAAAAGAGAGAACCCGAGGCTGGGTGTGTTTGTGTATGTTGACGGGGGGGATTGTCCTATTGTGCCTATGCAATCATGTTTCCAGGGGCTGTAGGCCAACAAAAGTAGAGGGGGGTCATGGGAAAGAAACAAGCTTGAGGGATCCACACAGAGGAGACAAAATGGCTGGCAGACAGCTCGTTCCAAGTTTGGTCTGCCTTTAAAGACCCCTGCTTACTCCCTAATCTCGCCATTCATCTCTACAGCTTGCGAAAAGCCTCTGAGAGTCAAAAGCAGGCTCGGTGACTTCGGGAGGGATATCTAACAAACAAGAGATTCAATAGCAGTGAATATGACTTTGTGCAAGCTTAGATCTTTGTGTGAACAAGAAGGACAGTTTAAACTTCTGCTGGATGTGCAGGAGAGACTGTTTTGGTACCTCAATAGTTCCCTAACATCTGAGGACAAAACTGCCAAAAAGAATTTCATCAATGTCAAAACTGAGGAAAACAAAAATAAACCCCGTGAACTTTGGAAATTACTCAATAACCAGCTTGGCTGCAGTAAAAAACTCAAAACGAGATTTCCTAACTTAAACATAAAGACAGATAACAGGCTCATCACAGACAAACTGGATGTGGCCAAGTACTTGAACATTTTTTTCACAAACATAGCCACAACTCTTGTAAATAAATTACCCTCCCACTCAGGGCTTTTTGGAGTAGATCACATCATGACCTACTACAAAAACCTAGGGGTACGCAAAGATGATTTCAGTCTAGCAAGTGTAACAACAGCAGAGGTACTCATTAAACTGAGCGCCCTCCAACCTAACAAGGCCACTGGCCACGACAATATCCCCTCCAAATTCCTCAGAGACACAGCAACCGCCATCTCACCAGTCATAGCTCACATAATTAACCTCTCCATAAAACAGGGACACGTACCCAAAGACTTCAAAATTGCAAGAGTAACCCCCCTGCACAAAAAGGGCAGCAAATTGGACCCAGGCAACTACCGCCCTGTTTCTATACTTACCTCCATCTCGAAAGTCATGGAAAAAATAGTATATGAACAGGTCGAAAAGTACCTCGCGGAAAATAAACTAATCTAGGAATTTCAATCTGGCTTTAGAACATGCACTCCACTGACACATGCCTTCTTTATTTGAGCGACCACATCAAACAAGAGGTGGACGAGGGCAAGTACTGCGGCATGGTGATGCTGGACCTACAAAAGGCTTTCGACACTGTCAATCACCCCATTCTGATTGACAAGCTAAAAGCAATTGGTTTTGATAGACTATCGGTGAGCTGGATGCAATCCTACCTGGAGGGGAGAGAACAGATGGTGGAGGTAAATGGTACTCTGTCCCCCCCCCCTCCCAGTGAGCTGTGGTGTTCCACAAGGAAGCATATTAGGTCCGTTACTGTTCCTAATGTATGTAAATGACATGTCATCAGCATGTGACTGCAACTTGTTCCTGTTCGCGGACGACTCAGCCCTGCTGGTCTCTGACAGGAGCAGATTGCAGGTTGAAAAAACCCTCAGCTCCGAGCTCGGCAGAATCTGCACCTGGCTCGCCGATAATACATTATCATTACACCTGGGTAAAACAGAGTCCATTCTCTTCGGTTCGAAACATAATCTCAGCAAATCCGACGACTTCTCAGTTGCAGTGGGCGACATTATTGTCACAAGTAAGAAGGAAATTACATACCTAGGATCTATTCTTGAGGCAAACCTCTCCTGTGACAAAATGGCATCCAATGTAATAAAAAAAGTCAATCAAAGAACTAGATTCCTATACCGGATCTCCTCTCTGGTAAACAAAAACACCCTGAAAACTCTGGCAGGAGCACTCATTCAAGGGTACTATGACTATGCTTGCACGTCATGGTACCATAGCACCTCCAAGGCGCTAAAAATAAAACTTCAAACATCGCAAAATAAACTGGTCAGACTACTGCTTGACCTTTCATCTAGAACCCACCTCACCTCTGCCCACTTTGACAACCTAGGATGGCTTAGAGTAGACGACAGAGTACAGCTACTTGCAATGGGCCTGGTCTACAAGATCCACTACACCTCTATGGTACCCATGTACATGTCAAAATTCTTCCCAAAGGTCAAGGAATACCATGATCATAACACCAGAGGGAGCTCCACAAATCATGTGAAACCCAGATTTGGCACAAAAAAGGGGGAATACACATTTCGCAATTATGCCACATCAAGGTGGAACGCTCTTCCCACAACTGTAAAGGAAAGTAAAACTATACTTACCTTCAAAACCTCTCTTAAAGAGCACCTTCGGGGGAGAGCATTGCAAAACTGGCCCCGGTAATGGTACAAATCTCAACCTGTCGTTCAATGGACAGCTTCCCCCCCCCCCCCCCCCCCCATCTATGTATACACTCGCATTTTAGACTCTGTTACTAACTGTATATCTGTAGACTTGGTATGTCTTAAATGTCCGGTTAGGATGTATTAGAACGAAATCTAAAATGAAAATGGTAAATAAGCAATCTGTATGTAAAAAACCACCTGTATGTACATTGTAAATAAGCCATCTGTATGTCAAATATGTCTTGTATGTCTTAAATGATATGATGAATTGGAAATGGGGGACCCTGATGTAAACAAGACGAAAGTCTTTCTCTGGTCTGCATCCCCTTAACAATTGTATGTTTTGAGCTGTACTGTACTGTACACAATATACAAGCTGTTAATAAACTTTTCAATCAATCAATCAATCAGTGCAGGAATTATATGTCTATTTTTCTGATCCTGGATTTAGAGATATTGCTAGCTTTCTACAAATTAAGCTCCTTTATCAATGTGACGGTGGACATCCATCTTTGTTTTATTTCACTCTGATACCTGTTGTTTAACTTCTTCCCAGTCGGATTGATTCGCGGTGAGATCCTGACTTTGTGCTTCACCCAGTCTGAAGCGCAGGTCGTCCTTGAGCTGAAGAACAGGCTCCACCGTGGCTTTCCTGAACGCCTCACGCTCCCTCTCCAGCAGCAGCCCTAAACCCCAACACAGACGTGCAAGGGCGCATGTGAGTTTTGAATTTATAAACAGTAAAATGAAAATGATCAAACGGTTAGTGTTGTTTACCAAAATCTTGAAGGGAGAAGATGGCAGTGTCTGTTCTACCGTTTGGCCTGAGCTGTTGAAGAAAATCCTTGATGTCATTCTCAGCCTTCTCCCTGTTTCATGAGAGGAAGGGAAAACTGTTTTAAACACAACAACATTAAGTTACTAAGCCAACAATTAAGAATGAACATAATACAAAATCAGAATACCCGCTAAGACAGCGATAAAATGTCACTTCAAATGTTGACTTATTCAAATAACCTCTAATTTATGGCAGATCTACAAACAACAAATCATTGATGCCTTTATGTGCTAAAGGTTGGGCCAATTTCAACACCTTCATTGTTAAAGTTTTTAGATTTTATATTCATAATTTGAATCTGAAAACTAACTTGTAACTAGAACTAAGAATTAAATTTAAAATTAAATTAAAAAACCCAAGTAACTTAGTAATGACTCAACATTTTTTAAGTACATGCATTTAGTTACCTTTCACCACTACATTGACTACTGGGATTCATCTCTGGAGATATGGGGACAGGCTGGGGACCAGATCTATCCTTCCTTCTGATTATCACCCACTATCTCAGACTCAACTGGAATAATCTTTCACAAAAAATGTGAACATGCTGTCTTGCTGTGGGCAGTATCACACCATCAGCCCTATGGAGAGCGCTACAGAGATTGTTGACTTGCTGCTCACTGGCTCGGGGGTTGACATGATTGTGAATAAAGGAAGTTACCATAGAGACATCTGCCTGATTTACCATCTGACAAGGTGGCTTTTGAATCCCATGGTATTTTAACTAGATGTATACCTAGAGAGTTCCAAGCAGTGGTACCTCTTTATGAGTAGGCTCATTACTGAGGCTCACGCTTGTGTACATCATTAACCTTGGGTGGCTCAGACACAGTCATTACGCAGCCAAACACGCTGCACCCCAGAGCTAGCGCTGCCCTTCTCACTTCACAAGGCATGACACCGCTGGGGCCCCACACTTCTGGACACAGAGGGAGCACGTTTCTCCATTCACTTTACTCTACTTTCACCACACAGCTCAAATACTCTACTCTGTTTCTCACCCTTACATTCAATGTCATCACTGCAGGAAAATCATGTGGGATCTTCCATCTCTTCTCTTCTTGTTTTCTCCCTAATACATACAGTATTTCTCCCCAGGCTGCTGTGCCCTCTCTTTCTCTAAACCATATTTTCTTCGTGCAGGGTCCTGCCTGGACTCAATGGAGCTTAAGTGGAACGGTTGCGTGGTGTAATAGCCAGAAAACTGTGGCAGATAATGACAGGGAGTAATAGGGGGCTCTTACTCAGCCTTTTGCAGCCTGGGGCACTCTCTGCTCCACACCTGTCTGTGCTGCCGTAATACGGAGCTGTCCTTGGTCGCCTTGGCTGCACAACGCGTCTTCTGAACCTATAAGACAAGGTTTAACGCTCAGCAGGAGAAACTCTGGAACTGAATCAGCACGTTAAAACAAATCACCACAGTGTTTGCTTTTCAATACACTTTAGCCATGACATTTATTTCCTCCTACAAATAATTAACATAGTCTTGAAAAACCTGACTCTGTAAGTGCCTTAATGCATCAATTATCTGGGCCATTTTATAACATCGAAAAAGCACGAGAACCAAAGTGAATAAATCATGATGTTGGAACGGATGGTGAAACATAAAATAGGTAATTTGTGTTTCCTTTTAGCAGGAATAAGTTCTCTTCCTTTACACACATCAGGAATAGGTTTACACAGGCATTGCTTCAGCCTTTATTAGCGATAGGCACAAGCCTGTGAAGGGCTCATAAACGGAGTTAATTCAACTGAAACGGTATCACTGTTAAAGCATGAAGGCAAAAATAAACAGCAAAATAATTATGTGGAAACCTGCATGACACGCATGAGACACGTTTTTAGGAATAGGAGGTGGGGGGGGGGGGATGTAAAAGTCTTAATCTACTCTCATTTATTTTCTCTTTTCATTATGAAAGGACGAGGCCCTCCTTCACAGCGCTTTCCATGCAGCAATTCATTGTCTTCTATCAGCGTTTTTATACACAGGCCACTGGCTCAGATCATTGTTCAAAGGAATATCTCAAATAACCAATCCATGGGAACAATGCATTTCATATGAATAGGAAATGAAAAGGAGTTAATGTGTTTATCGTTGTCTTTAATGCGTGTCAAACTTTAGGGTCAGGTTCGTCTACAGATCCTTACCCTCAGGATGTCAAAAACATTTTAGAGTTATTCCAATCTACAGTGCTCGATCTGAAACAAGGGCTGTCTTTAAAGAAAGAGGCCAAATTGGGGTCATCCCTTGCCTCCTCCAGGCTAGGTGATTTACATTTGCATTGGTTGTCTAATAAACTCAGCTGGACTACAAAGAATGAGCCTGGAGCTACATTTACATCAGCTGAATTCTACTCTCACTGTTACAATAACCTAATCCACCAATATAAACACTCTGAACGATCGAGGGCCCAGTACGGTTCCCCTTTCAACCATTTTAGTGGACTTTTTAAATGATTTGTATCAAACTGAGTCAAAGGAAAAAGTGTGCTTCTATTACTTGTAAACATATACTGTATTTGCCACTCCACATTGTTTTTTTAAATGTTTGGGCATGACACCCTTTCTCATTGTTTTTGTTATCTCTAAAACAGCATGTGCAGATTTGATCTGTTTTTGATACCTTTCAGATACCTCTTGTGAATGAATCCCAAACAAGATATAGATAAACAACATTATGTGGTACTTTCCAGATCCATGACATAACCCTTTAAAGCTCCCAAATAAAAAATATGGAGTTCAAATCAAAAATACATGATTATAGCCACAAAAGATGATGCTCCGTCAGAGTACCACAAAAACTAAATCTGTCGATCATAGAGATATTGAGTGAGTTCATGCCTCTCCCCAACGTTTTGGCTTGTCAGAGTGAAGCACGGGTGTTAATAAAAACATTAATGATCCCTTGTTCTCTCTTTTTTTTGTATCGCTCAATACTAGGTGAACTCTTGGATTGTAGCAGAAGGTATAGTGTAATGCAACGCACAAGAACACATTTTTGTTTCATAGTGGATATTTTCAGGACACTATTTTGTGCAAACATTTCTTCAGTATTCCAAAACTCAAATAAAACAGCAGTGTGTAAATGGAGTGCGCTATATAGTAAGTAAGAGGCAATTTTGCTCATAGCACAGGACCCTAAAACTGTATCAGCCTAATGGAAGTCATTCATAATTAATTTCATTATTTACACATGTGCTTATTGTGACAAGTCCAAATGTATTCAACGATAAAGGCACATTGTATGTTGACAACATTTAAATTAAAAGATATTATTTCTATGTTTTTGTAAATAACACAAAAACCAGAGCTGCTGAGAAAAAAAATATGATCAATCGGCAAAAAAAGGGTGTTTGAGTAACAATGCTGCTAGTCCTTTCACAATAATGATCCCCTTGAGGCGACTCATTCATTTACCCTCAATCACATCACCAACAGGATATGCTCAGAACGCCTTCCTTTCAGCAGGGCGACCCGATTTGTGAACATAGCCGTCTTATCTAGGTTATGCAGCGTGCTGGGTTAGAAGGAGCCACGGGCAACCATAATGATACTTAAAGGCTTCTGCCACAGTTTAACAATTAAAACACCGCAGGTCCAACAGCCTTATCTCAATTGCCCAAAGCCTTAACTTTTTACTGTACTCAGGGTTGGAAGACTATGAACTTCAATCCGTTTTGTAGAAACCCGGGTGGGTATCCAAATGAATAGTCATGAGATCTGTAATGCTACTGTGTATGGTTGTGATATTACTGTTCTGTTTGATGTGGTTGGACAAACTATAAAGTGTATGCAATGCCTGTTGTCATATGGTATGAAATCCCTTAACAGTATGTGTTAAAGAGAGAGGAAAGAACGGTAGACAAACACAAATAAATGGCACTATTTCCCACTATATGTTGTTTTATCACCTCACATTCAAATCTGTTTTTTGTCAGTTCAAGCTCTTCCTGTGGTGGATAATGAATAGGACTGTTTGCTATTATCGTGTTGTTGCCCATTCTTCTTCATTTGCTCTTGATTCAACATTTTATTAAATACAACGGGAATAGATTTTATAATAACAATGCTATTTCAAGCAGAGGCAGGATATTGATAATAACCAAATGTTACCTTTAATCCAATTAGATCAGACTCCAGGCGCTTGGCATCAACAATGGCTTGTAGTTTTTGGTATTCAGCCGGTTTGTACTTTGAGCTGCCAAGACCATTTTTCATCCGCAGTGTCAGTTTTTCTGCACGGATGAAAGCAAATGATATGGCTGGATTAGGATAATTGGAATTGTTGAAAATCTCATCACTTTTAATGTCTGAAATAAAGTCATTATGCTGACTTCAGCAAAGAAATACAAAGGAGGTGAAAACAGAGGAGCATCAGCGCTAATGGATTGGAGGGCTAATTTGAAGAATTACTGGAGGGGGGGGGGGGTAAGTAACATCGGGGCAAACTAACTGTGTCAGACAGTTTTTGAGCAGTTCATCTGTGAGTTAAAGAGGCAGGTGAATAAATACAAGCAATGCTGTCTTTGTCAAAGGCATCGGGGACATCAGGTCAAATCTGTTCAACAGATCAATGGGGCCACTGTGTCACAAGTCAGCAATATTTGAGGCCCAGTTTCTGCTGACTTACCCACATCTTCTGCTCTGTAGTTTGTAATGAATGTATTCCGATCCATTCCACTCATTTTTGCCTGCAAAATGAAGGAACAAATAACTGCTTTTATGTGAAAAATATAAAAGCTAAAACAAATACAAAATAACATTTAAACGGCAGAGGTACCTGGCTTTAGTCAGGTTATTAAGGTCTTCAAGACATTGCTAAATCCAATCCAGTGAAACAATTCAACTCAATAAAATGAAGTGGTAGTATGCCTTTAAAAATACTTCTTACTAAATTATTAAGAAAATAATTAATAATAATATGTTGCCGCCCTATAGTTCAAAAGTAATACTGGGGCACACAAATTAAACACCTTACAAACAGCCTGAGAGGTGTCACGGTGGAGCAGTTGTTTACCTATTCTGTCAGCTAGCTAATGCTAACAAAGTCTACAGTAATCTACAGTAGTCAGACGAATTGAAATATTGAAAACATTAAACACAGCGAAATTTTACAGAGCATCGTACTGCTTCTAAATTCAACTCACACGACAATAGTCAACTCTTTACTATGCGAGTAAAATAAACATTTAACCCACTAAACCCTAGCTTACCCCTCTGTACAGTGACAAAAAAAATGTAACCAAGGAAACTATTATCTGTACTCCCATTGGTTAATTCAACACAGAGAACCTCCTATGGACCGCCCCCTACTCCTATTGCAACCAATCAGGAGTGTGCAGTGCTTTCCCACACTCCCACTGACGTCATGCACGCTCGCTTTGCCTGGGTTTGCTGGTGGAAGCGACGGAGGGTCTTCTTCTTCTTCTTCTTCACGACTATGGAGAAGCGTTTCACTCTTCCACATGCATGGGACTAAACTAGGGGACTTTACTGATGAAGTTACATTTTCCAATGTAGATCCTAGCCGCAGCTCAGCCAGCGGAACAACAGTCCCCCCAAGGTATTTATTATCTATTTGTTCCGCTCATTCGCTTACTGCAGAATAATTGGGGGGAAAACGTAGGGAAAAAATACACGCATCTGTGCGCAAGGCAGGAGGGTATGGACTGCTACGTGAACTCAGAAAGTCATGAATTCACTGTGTAAAGAAAGTGTTAGCTTTTTTGCGTACGTGTACGGCACAAGGTAAACTTATTTAGGCTTATAAACAGCGGGAGTGCATCTAATACTACCTTAATCTTGATCTTGTGACCGAGTCATCGCCAACAACGCACACCTTTGAAGGACCTCATGCTGTAACCTCAATGCCAACCCGTAGGAATTGAAAACTCACCAGGCGGACAGACAGCAACTGTTTTAGTTTTTGCGTTACCACAAAAAGCTCACTTTTCTCTTAGTTCTTGAAAGGGTATCGCTAAGAGGTGAAGTAAAAGGCAGATGAGCTTTGAGTGTGGGAATCTGAGGAATGCGAGGTCGGAGAGGGGCGGAGATCCCGACTCTCTGCACCCGCAAGATAAGCTTACCTTTACTCTCACGTTCACTCGCTACATTCAAACTACGCCATATTTAATTACCCTAATCTGCATTTTAACAGGGGCGTTCCTTTAAAAACACTGTGACTGTAGGTTTCATAGCTTTTGGAATTGTACAAGACTAACCGTAAGGACAAGATGGACTTACATGAATTGCCCTGGAAGATAATCAAATAAATGGCCAAATTACCGTATCTAATGCATTGGAGTGTATCATCATTCTTTTCACCTTTTCTGTTAATCACCTAACTCACTCAGCATTTATAACCTATGATGTGGCACATGTCCATTATCTTGTCCCACTTTGGTTTAAAAAGTAGGTCTGATTTAAAAGGCACACTAACTGTCTCACATACAACCATATGCATAAGTCTTCAACTCATGTTTTGCACCCAGTAGTTGTTTATTTTAACTGTCACTATAACCTTGGTGTGAGAAATGTAATTGAAAAGGGGATTAGAGAATTTACAATTTGGCACACTTTAATCACAGAGTGAAAACATGGGTTATTCATTGTGTTACATATCCCCTATTATCACATCAGAGTTGCTGGGAGCAGTGCTTCATGCCATGCAGCTGTGGAAAGGTTATCTGCATGCATCACTGATGTGACTGAGTGAACATAGTGCAAGTTTTCCCCCCAGCCAACAGTGGAAGTGCATATGGCGAATTAGATCATGAACTCTGTCTCTCACTCGCTCAATCTCACACAGACACCTCGTGATTCACATTACAGCACAATACTTAGTCTGCTACACAGCTGACATCCATTCAGGGTGGTTTACTGTGGAAATGAAAGAACATTGGTTTAATACAATTCTCCTTCTGTTTTGTTTTTCATGCATTTTCTACATTCTAGTGACATCTCGTTTTGCACAAGGTTTGCACGAGGTTTTAGCACATTCAGCCAACCTGTCACTTTCATTTGTCGTGTTGCTTATAACTCTAGAACTCTATAATACTTGTTTGTGAAAGATTATTGATTATGCAGAAAGAAAACACATTATCTGCTCAAACAACAACTTGGTGCTTCAGTAGACAAAAACAAAAACAGTTGCTAAAGTCATTTTGAGTTTTGGTGTGATTGTTTGACCCAGTCTTCATGGTGAGTTCTTTTTAATGGGAACTGACAACTGTTGAATAGTTTAGCGCCTTTTGTTGGACCTCCACCCCCTGGAAGTTTTTTTCACTCTCTAATTCTGGCCTGACATCAAGGCTTAAACCCTCACCCCTATGTTACATGTCAGATTTGCTACAACCAAAGAAGTACACCTCCACTCTCTTAAGACAGGGAACATATTTCCAGTCTTTGCCTTTTCTGGAAACAAAAATGGTTACTTTCCTTGTGCAAGTGCATGCATGCTACAATTGAAGAAAAGTGCTGTATCAATCTCTTCCCTTAGCCAGTCAGGAGAAGATGCCGTGTGCACAATTACAATTAAAATTGCCCTTAAATGTAGTGATTTTAATGATATAACTATCCATAAAAAAAGCAGAATCTATATAGCCGTATGCGATGCTCTGACTGTGATGAATGACTGATTATGTTTCATTTAACGTTTGCTGGCTAATTAAAGGATTTGCATAACATTTCAATAGATTTGTGTTTAGAAATGTTTATTTTTGCCATTATGGTGTGGCTCCAGTGTAGGATGGTAATAATAGTTATACTAGCAAGTTCTCATCAAATCCCACCCCACATACTGCAGCTTCTTTCCTACCACATTTGCATGGTGTGGTCAGAGAGTTTTCTCCTGCCTCCTATGAGAACAAACCACATGTAGTAGAGTAGGGGAATTTCCATCGTGAACCCATAACATCTTTATTCTATCAATCGGGAGAACTAAAACAGCAAGCAGACCAATCATTATTATTATTATTATAAAACATGTTTTTAATATTTAAAGGTCCCATGACATGGCCATTTCTATCGATCATAATTCCATTGTTGAGGTTTACTAGAATAGATTTACATTGTTCCATGTTCCAAAATCACATTGGTTTCTCATACAGCATCTATGTATAGCATGTGTATTAGGGCTTCACGGTATTGAAAAAAACTGACATCGCGATTTTTCCCCCCCCGCGGTATATATTGCGGGTTTTTTAACCTGTTAAACCCCAAAGTCCCGGCGGGTACTTTACTTTTTTTTTCACGACAGTGTCTCAGGCAGTGTTGGGAAAGTTCACTTTCTACATGAACTAGTTCAGTTCACAGTTCACACATTTTAAAATGAACTAGTTCAGTTCATAGTTCATAATTCAAAATGTTGAACTAAAGTTCATGGTTTCAAAAATGAACTAATTTATAGTTTATAGTTATTTTTTCAATACGTTGCTGCGAGCTATTATTTGTCAAAAATGATTGCCACAACCCATATAGAACCACAGACAGCAATCAGAATACTGGCATTTCGAGTGCCGCTGCTGCAGCTGCTCTCGGCTTCGTCCATACTAATTCATTCATTCATTCAATGCTCGCCGGTTCAGCGGTTCCACATTGTTTGTTGTAGGGCTGTGCAATTAATCGTATTTTAATCGCGATTACGATTATGGCTTGCGACGATTATGAAAACAGCATAATTGACAAAATACGATTATTTTGCTGGGTGCGCTTCACCCCTCCCTAAAAGCCCACTCGGCCACGTAGTAGTGATATGTGTTGTGAGTGTTCAGCGCAAGCGCAGATGTCAGAACAAGAGCAGCAACTCGTTAAAAAGAAGGGTACAACTATTTCCACTATTTGGAAGTACTTTGGCTTTCAGGAGTCCGACGTGGAGCAAAAGAAAGTAGGCCTACAGTGCAGGATTTACCAGGTTGTGTTGGCACCACACGCTAACACAACCAATCTCTTTAATCATCTGAAATACAACCACAAAGTGCAATACGACTGGGCAATAATACAACAAAAAGCAGACCAAAAAGCAGATGCCGCTCGACTTCATCCACAACATCATCACAGTCATCGATTCAGGACGCATTGTACAGAGCAACGGCCTACGCGACGAGCTCGCAGAGACACAGAGATATTACAGGTGCCATTACATTTCACATCGCTAAAGATATGTGCCCAGTTAGCACTGTTAGCAACCAGGGCTTTAAGCAACTTGTCAACACGTTGGACAAGCGTTACGCGATGCCGTCTCGGTATTATTTCATTCGGTATTATGTGACAAATGCCGTGGGGAAGTTGAGAGAGATGTGGCTTCAGCTGACTACTTTGCCACCACAACGGACCTATGGTCTAGCCCAGGGGTGCCCAACCAGTCGATCGCGAGATGTGTCTAAAAATAGAACAACATTATTCTGTTTTATCGTTAATGTCCTGTAACATAATCTTCCTGTGCCAGAATAATGCACTTGAATGCATCAAAGCTTTGTGATTGGCCGGCGTCACCCCTGTGTCGGGGAGTGGCTGAGGGTCTTCAGTACAGGTGGCAATATTGTCACCTGCCTGCGCTCATCTCTGAAACCAGACCATGTAAACAGCCTGGTGTTTCTTGCAAAAAATCTTTAAGAGATGACATGAGCAGCCCTACCAGCATTTGCCATGGTGGCCAAAACATTTTTATTTGGTCTTAAATTGTAGTTCAACATTTATTTCCTGTTACTTCTGGACCATGACGGTTGGCCAGCCTTGAACGTTTAACTGAGTGGAATATGTTGAATATGTTGAACCAACATGTTGGCTATATGTTAAGTAGTTTTCAGTAGGTTGTGACAGTGCACTGCAACATGTTTGATTTCATTTATTTTGGTCTAATTTATTTTTATTTATCATAAGAATTATATATGTTTAGTATGGTTTTGGAAGTGTGCTCCAACATATTTGTTGATCTTGTTTATTGGTAAAATATTATTTGTTTTAAAGTTCAATAAATGGTCAATGAATAATCGTCAAAATAATCGTGATATCAATTATTGACCCAAATAATCGTGATTATGATTTTTGCCATAATCGCACAGCCCTAGTTTGTTGTGAGGAGTCTGATGACGTATATTTTAGTGCGACAGCCAGGGGTGACAGGCCAAGCCCCCAGGAAGTGTGCCGGACTCAGATGAAAATATTCGTGCTGGCCAAACGGCGGTACTACACTTCCGTTTGGTTGCCAGGCCCGGAAACACTTTTTCCCATTGACTTACATGGGGAAAGAGTGGTCTGTAACTCGTTGGATAATTTTTTTTTAACTAAATAAACTACCCAGTATGAACACTTGTATAGCCCTTATTAAAAACATTCGTTCCTCAAGTTGTAAAAATGTGCTAATAACGTTATTCTGAGAGTTATTTCCCTCTGCATTATGAACGCGCATCTAACCCACGGGACCGCGCCTCCCGGCACGTTCATGTTACGTGTCCCGACCAATCAGAGCACACTGTGCTCACAGGGAGGGTGGGGCTGGAGCTATTGGAGCTACAACGAGCCGTTAAAGGCAGAGTGAAATTCAGTGAATACACGTAGTTTACAGAGATGCTGTATGAGAAACCAATGTGAGTTGCGTTTATCTTTACCCATGGATAAGAACGGATCCATATCGTCTTACTGCCATCCCACGGAGCTGTAATAATGGATATATTGCACATGTTTGCTGTAATTCATTATCATACTACATGGGCTGTATGATTAAATCTTGTACCGTAAATGTTGTATTAAATAAAGTTAATATTACCGACATTATTAACGTCCCTGTAGCTTCGTATTGCACTAAGAAGCTTATTGCACTGTATATGAATAGGCTATATATAAATATACATATATATATACAGTGCAATAATTATTTCATGCTAAATGAAGCTCTGTTGGATATCACTAGATCCTGTTACAGCGTAATATAAGTACATAACGATTGATGTGTACATTAGCATCATTACTAGCTAGCTGCTAACTGCCGCCTCGTTCATATCAAATCCATGATAACAACAATCCATTACCATGCTGTCATGAACGCGCGGTGCTGT